GTGACTAACATTCATAGGGGAACCATCAGTAGAATAAATATCAGGAAAGGAATTATTAGGTGACATTGAAGAGAAATGAGTAGTAATTGAAGACATATGGTTACAACAACCAGAATCGAAATACCAAGGTTTGGTACCCGGGGCAGTAGATAAGGCAGTAGGAGCATTAAAAAGATTTAATATCACCTGTTTTAGGGATTCAAGGTTGACATTAGGTTGTTCTATCACTTCGTTGGCAATCGTAGCAGTAGCAGGATGAGTTACAATCCTTTCAAAACTCGTCATAGAATCAGTAAACTCACAATACTGAAAAACTCTAAAAATACGGAGAAATAGATGCCAAGATCGAAATAACAAACCAACAAAATACCTCAGAAAGGGTCTGAGAATCGAGGATAAACAATCCAATCTGTATGAGAAGAGATCCCAATGACAAGGTTTCAGATCTGGAATGGAATTAAAAATCCAACTCCAAAAAATCCAACTCCAAAAAACCCAACAGCGATGATAAGAGAAAAGAACCAAGAGCTTATAGCTCTGATACCATGTTAGAAACTGAAAAGAAGGAAAAATATCTGAAGAAAGGTTTATTGCTTTCTTGAATTATACTATATGTACAATGACCTATATATAGGTGTTTATAAAGAGAATATTCTAAGGTATAAAGTATATAAAGAGAATATTTTAAAATATAAAATATTTACAATTATTCTAAATATAATTATGTTCACATCTTAACATTTAACAACAGTCTTATTACGTTTGGTCAAATTAATTTTTAATTATATTTTTTATAAATTTTTATTTTTTAAAATTAATTTTGAAATAAAACCAATTTTATGAAAATGATAAATTTTTTTCACTATCTGAAAATTTGTAATTTCTATCCTATATTACTCTAGTTTTTCCTTTTAATAATTTTTCTTTGTAACAAAAACTATAATTATTAATATATTTTAATAATTTATATAATCTATTGTGAATTACTTTGTTAATTGAAATCGTTTTACATTAATTTTAATTTAATTTTTTTATTATTTTGCATTAAAACTAATAAAAATTTTATAAAATAAACTATTCTAAAATATTTTATAAAATTTATAAATTATTTAAAAGTAACTTTTTAAAATAAAATAAAATTAATAGTTAATAAAAATTAACTTGAAATGAAATTTCATCACCTTTCTTCGTCAATAGCGCCAAAAGAAAAAAAAGGGGAGAAGGACGAAGGAGGAAGAGACTTCTCTCGGTCTTTGTCATTATTATTATTTTTTAGAATATCTTTCTTTAGGTTTTGTGGTAGGATTCAAAGCTAGTACACATTGAGTGGTTGAGGTGGGTTGGAGAGGACCCATTGGTACAGGTGGTGAAAAGTTTTTTTTATTTTTGTACTCCAAAAATTTTAATGGTATTAAATATTATAATTTTTTAAAAATATTATATTTTTTATAAATTAATATTTTATTTATTTTATTGTAAATTTTAGAAGCATTAAATTAATGCTTTTACAAAAAAAATTTATTTAGATTTTAATGAAATTTACACATTATTTTTATTTTATCTCATTTTTTTTATTTACAAACATAACACTTTTACAATAATTTCTTCCCAATAAAATTTCTATTAAAATTTTCAATCTTACCAAACGACCACTAAGAGTTAATAAATGAAATGAGTCAAATGTTTGTACAAGTTTTAACTTCGCTTGCACAAATTACAAGTTAAATAGAATAATAAAAAATATTTTATAATATAAATAATTGAATTTATAAAATAAAAAACTCATAAAATAAATCTTGAGTTACAAGTTTTTACCCATCCCCTTTCAAAAAATGCAAAATAGGATTAGGTTGACAAGTTGAGCTAAATTTTGCCATGTTGAGTTCAAGATATCATGATGAAAATCAACACAATAATTAGTAGTTGTATGGGTAATAACAAACAAATAATTCATTTGTAAAACTTTTACCTATAATTTTTTATATATTATTGAATTAATAAATATATATAATATTATATATTTAATAAAGTAAAATTAATAAATCACTAAATAAAAATATAAAATTTTACAAAAAAAATAAACAATAAAGATTGTCCTTTAATCATTTCAATATTTACCCTAAATCTTAAAATCTTAAAACTCATTTAATAAACAAAAAATTATTTTTCAAGTCGCTAGTCATTAAATTAAGAGAAATCCATAAATATTAAAAAATGTTATTTATTTAATAATTAATAATTTATAATTTAATACAATTTAAACTATAAAATACAAATTCTTTAATAAATTGCGTTGATAAGCGATTCTCTTGACAAATACTCATACTACTTTGATTATAAAAGTCTAAAGACCATATTAATGAAAAAAAAACTTCCTAAGGCCCAAAAATATCGAAAAAGTACTTTTTAAATTCCGAAAAATGGGAAACTCCTTAGTTTTCACCTCAAATAGAATTTGACTTTCTCAAACCTGCAGATGGTATTTATTTTGTCGGCAAAAATTGAATTTAACGGGAAATTGGATTTTTAGTTATGCATTCGTGAATTATGACTCCGGTTATGTTACAAAATTTCCTCAGAATTATGAACCAGAGCCAGTTTTTTTTTTTTCGGTTCTTTGTCTGCCTTCACAGAAGTCGGGAAATTAACAAATTAAACACAAAACTAATTACCTCCTTTCAGGGAAAAACACACACACACATAACCATTCTGCAACCTATAAGAAATTTTGATAGTAAAATCGAAAAATCAAATATTGAAATTTACAAACTTTGCCCAATAGTTCTCATTAAAAAAACATAATTTTGGACAAAGATTCATTGTTATTTACACAAGAGGGGAGTTTTCCCCCTTTTCTTTCACTCCTAATAAAAAGGGAAAAAAGAAGAAAAAAGGAGAGAAGATAAATACAGATTAGAGTGGATAAGCATCTGAATTACTACATCAATAATTCAATACGAACACTGAATCCGGTGCACGCGGTCCCGGAGAATTCCATTGTACAGAGCAATCCGGTTCGCCGGCATGTCTTTTCTGCAAATGCTTTCAACCACCGTGGTCCTTGTCGTCGCCGTTGCCGCCGCCGCTGCCGCCGCCGCCTCCGCTGACTTCCTCTCGTGCTGTTTCCGATACTCCTTCCCATTCCCACTCGTCTCCTTCACATTCTCCGCAAAATGCACCTTTTTCTTCTTCCTCTGCTTTTTCTTTTCGTCTAGAAAAAAACAGAGCAACAACAATCAATCAATCAAGCAAGGAAGAATTTGGAATTAACCCAAATTAAAGAAGAAAACCCATGTTTTACCTGAAGACAAACAAGAACGCAAGGTGGGATTTGGAGAGGGTAGAATCTTCGGCCGAGAAAACGCGAGAAAAATCACGGTACTGGAGACAACCATGGCTGCTGCTAAAACGACCCCGGAAGACATATCGGAATAATTTGGTGTTTGTATGTTTGTTGGGATTGTGTATTAGTATGGTGGTGGGTGGGGATGGCGTATATGATATATATAGAGAGAGAGATCAGAGATCGATTATGGGTATGAATTGAATTGAAAAATGAAAAACAAGGATGGGGCATGGGTGAAGTCGGGATTAAAGAGTAGGCGTAAAGAATCTGGATTTCTAGTGGGGTTGGGTTTGGTTTGGTTAGTGCACCACACGGAAAAGGGAGGAAGTCAGGGGTCAAGGGTGTGAACTTGTTCTAGAAAACAGGATTTGGTCAAATTGTGTGTTGGGTTTGTGAAGCTTCGTGGATGGTGAGAACAACAAAATGATTGGTTCATATTGTAGGGCTCTCCTGAATGGCTGAAACAACAACCATTTAGGGACGTTTGGTTGTACACTTTCTGTCTAATTTTTTTTTAATAACATTATTTTATGCAATTTTATATATTAATATTACAATAAAAATAAAATAATATTTTAAATATTTTTTTAATACATGTCTCAATTTATAACGTTTTTTTTTATATTTATTTTGACATAAAAAAGTTTTCTCATAACTTTCTTTATATTAAACCCATTTAATAACTTTGTTTTATTAACTTTTTTATATTAATTTATTATCCAACACAATAAACTTAATAACCAAATAAAATTTTAACAAAAATTCATTATAAAATTTAAAAATATTTAATATGTTACTTTTAAAATCACTTTTTTTAATTAAAAACTACTATAATAAAGTAACTTTTTAACCAAATAGATTTTAAATTTAAATGAAGTAGCTTTACTCATTATTTAGAGATTCTTCTAATTTAATCATTAGTGTTTCACTATATTTTTGTGTAGTTTTAATTGTAAAATATTTTTCTAATCTAATGTAGTAATTAGGTTTTTTAGTTTTGGAGTTTCAAATTAATTACTCTTTTTTATCCAAAAATAACTGTCCCTATTTAAATTTTTTTAATTAAGGATTTAAGAATAATAATTGCATTTATCTACAATACTCTTAGAAAAGAAATAAAGAGAGACTTTTGTGATTAGATAGTTAATTAAATTGGATGAATGATGATAAAACTAAAGTAAGAAAAAAATATTAATTTACCTTGAAAAATAAAAAATAATTAATATGGGATAAATTTAAAATCAAAAAATAATAGTTATGTACTCTTTTTGTTTATTTTTAACAATCTTGATTTAACTTTTTATCTTCTTTATATATGACTTTTAGATAAAAATTTAACATATTATATAAATAATAATTGAAAATTTTTTAATTAAATAAAAATACTCAATAAAAATTTTATATAAAAAAATTTTAATAATTATTTATATAACTTGTTAAACTTGTATATAAAATGTATATTTAAAAAGTGAAAAAATGAAATTAACTGTCCACCTTTTGTGAATTGTGAGAGCCTCAACCCTTATGGCTTGCTAATCACTTGATGGGCTAGTGATAAAAACCAGTGCCGTGTGGCTGTGGTGGTTTGATTTAACGGTTGTA